CTGTGGCTCCTTCTCCTAGAGACACCAACCGAGAGATTTCTTCTGGGTTTCTGTGTTCTGCCTTCCTCCTCCGTCCTCTCTCAGGAGGAAACGGACATATTTGGGCAAAGCCCGGCAGAAACCAGCGTCATTCCGAGGGTGGCACTGCACGAAGGAGGAAGTTCTCTGCGATTTCAGAGCTTTTAACCCTTAGCTTCCCGGAGACAGCAGGGCTGGGAGAGGGGACAGGGACAGGATGGCCTGAAAAAGGGATGGAAGGCATTGGGAACAGGGTTTTGGTGATTTGTTTTTGCAGAACTGAGTGTAACGGATGTGGGCGAGATAATGGATTTTGGCCTCCTGATTCAGTGCTGCCAGTTTCCAAGCTTGGCAGAGCACTGATCCCATCTTCTTTGTGGTAGCACGGGGAAAACTCAACTGCTTCCAATGCCAGGGAGCCAGAAACTTAGAGCAACTGTTAGCATCTTCTGTCTGCCCTTGCACTGGTTGGGCCTCGCAAGCGCAAAGCACTTCTGAGCTCAGACCCTGCTATGCTAACCCTCATGCTGAGGATGTGCAAATCCCTCTCTCCTGGCTCAGGGGTGGGATGAGCTGTGAGCTGAGCCTAGCGTTTTGGAACAGCATCAGGTCTGTGTGTCTTCAACCTTGGATAAAGCCTTGTGCAAACATGTCTGGTGGGAGGTGTCCCTGCCCAGGGCAGGGGGTTGGGGCTGGGTGATCTGTAAGGTCCATTCCAACCCCTGAACAATCTATAAATCTATGAATCCATGAACCTGCACCTCAGATTGCAGCAGGAGCCAGTGACTGCCCAGGCAGGAAATCAGCACTGAACCATCCTCCCGTTCCAGTTGGGGAATGGGTGGGAGCAGCCTGGGGGACAGGGTTGGCAGTGCCTTCCCTGGGCTGGAGCCACACAGTCCTTTCAGCTTGGGAACCAGTCACAGGATCTCCTTCGCTGCTGGGGTTGTACTCTACAAACAAACCAGAATGCAAACAGCTCCTTTGAAATATTTATGATATCTTGAATGACTTGCATGGCACAAAACCAAGAAAGATGAGGGTGCTTATAGCTGCTGGCGCTGGGTATGTGGAGGGACCTGCCTTGCATAATCCCCTTTTGTCCTTGTATGAGATGTTTTCAGACAGGCTCTCAGCCTACCCTCTGGGGCATGCAGTGCCTCAAGGTGGTGCTTGCCCCAGCAGCATCAGGCCCCTCATCCCAGTGCTCAGCTGGTTCCTTGGAGAGCTGCTGCTCTTACACCTGAGCCAGTTTCAGGGTTGTACCTCAGTGACCATGCACTGCCCACAACACTTCTGTTTTCAAGACCTTTGCTGGTCCTCCCATGCTCCAGCAGCCTGGGACACCTGGCACTCAGCTCCCTTTCCCACAGCAAGCAGGTTTCTGATGTGATTTTGCTCTTCTCACGCAGGAAACTCCCTCTCCCCTCTCCAGTGATTTCCATGGCTTTGAACTCCTCCCACACACCCACCTGGCACTGAAGAGGAAACAGCACATTTGGGGAAACATCTGCATCCTTCTTCTGACGCATCCAGAGCGACAAACAATCCCTTCTGTTGCACACAGTCCAGGCCTAGAGGCAAATCTCACCATGGAGTTAAAAGGTATCTATTGATTTTATGATGCCAAGATCATTATTTTTTCATACAGTTGATAGTAGCCTCAAGTTCCCAGGCTTTTATACCCCCCAACACTGCAGGAATAACAAAGCCCATCAGGCTTTGCCCAGCAACAAACATGCTGTGTAGAAATAAAGCTAAGCAAAACACTGTAAAATGACCAAGTGGAAAGCAAAGTGCAGGAAGGGGAGGAAATGCATGAAACACATGACTAGTGCTGTGATGGCTGGATGTATCTTCAGGCAGTGAGCTGGAACTGATGTGGTGCAGGCGCTTGACTTTTGGTTCACAGTTGCTATACGAGTTCTACAAGTTCAAAGCAACAAGGTCCAAAAAAGCTAACCTAGCTCTGCCCACGGCAAAAGGTGGAGAAATCCATGATGAGCTGAAGACCTTTGTCGAGTCACTAAATCCCTGCTGTTAGAACAGCAGCCAGTGCTCCAAACTGGGGAGAGGAGGAGGCAGCAAATGGTGATGCCACTCCACAAATCCTGGTGCTGGAGACTTCAGGGCTGCTAATGCAGGAGGCACCACGTCCAGCTCGGGGCTGACACGTCCCACATGTCCCTCAGCCTCCTCTGCCTCAGGACTGCCAAACCTCCCTTAAGCAGCCATCTCATCTACCTTCCCAGGAGCAGTGACAGTCCATGCTTAGCCCAGGAGGTGACACAGTTATTCAGCACGTTAGAGAATCAGAGTATTTACAGAGGGACTTAAAACATGGAATTAAAACTTAGCTTTGGGAAATCACACCTGGAAACACCCAAAATGCTTCACCTGAAGCAGCAGAACAAATCCTGCACTACCAATACAGCAAATCCTCTTCATTTTCTGTGAAATCAGAACCTTTCTAGGCACCACACAGAATGGGAAAGGAAACCATTCCTGCCTCAGAGCACACACCTGGCAGAAAGAGGTGGATGAAAGGGCAAACAAGTAACACTTGGTAGCTGCAATGAAGAACTCTGAATTAATTGCTGCTGAGCCTTTCAAAGGGCACTGATGAATCACAGAGCCAGGGATGTGTAAGCAGCAAGAGCTGGAGGTGTTAGATAAAAAGTCATTTGAGAAACTACTAGAAATAGAAGCCAGTCAGGAACAAAATTCCAGAGGAGGCAGAAGCAGAGAAGTAAATCCAGAACCCCATTTTTCAAGGCATGGAAGGTGCAGCCACACCTGAGTCTGAGGACTCAGACAGTGCTGAGGAACTGGGAGAAGGTGCAATCAGGAGGTTACCTGTGACAGGTGAGGTCTGACCAAGGACCTCCCTCAGGGCATCTGACCCTCTGTGTGCTCCACACCTGTGTTTGTCTGGCAGAACCTCCAGGCCACCAGCTCACACACCTGGCTCCAGGGTCCACCTTGGTGCAGCCCCTGCCAGAGATGGAGCTCAGACCATGTGGCTGTTACCACCTCAGATCTGCTTGTGCTGTTCTGGTGATCCCACACCATGAATTTCCTGCACAACACACTGGATGAACAAACCACCTCCCCTGCACTTCCATGGGTAAACTTTCGCCCTCCAACCACAAGGATTTTTAGAACGAAATGGTTCAATGGTTGTCAGCAGAGCAATTCTGGGCAAACGCAAAACCTCCAAGCTGGAAGCTCCAAAGCTGCTATCAAACAGCAGAACAGCTGGTTAAGGACACAAAACCAGCCTGTGTACCCCAGGAAACACTCACTGCTCCTCACTCAGAGGTATCTGCTGAAACAGGAGCCATAAATAAACCACATTGCTTAAAGCCAACTCACACTTCAAGCTCAGATCACCCTAAATCTGTCGCATGGCTCATTCACTGCATCAGCCACCCAAACTGGCTCCTGTAAGCAACTCTGTGCTAATTCACACCAGGCTAATCCCTTCGGCTTCCTACAGGGCAGCAAAGGCCTTAAAGTGCTGCTCAAGGTCAGAGGCAGGAACAGAAGCTCAGTTCTGTCACTGCCCCAAGCCCTGGGTTTGGTGCCTGTTCCTCATGTCTGCTGCAGGGAGGGTTTCCTGGGGAGTGCCAACTCGGGGGCAGAACCACCTGGCTCTGTGGGAAGGCCTCGTGCAGTAAGGAAACCAAACACACAGGAGGTAAAATACAAGGTTTTTTTTTTTTTTAAAAAAAAAAATCTGTTTTACAAGCAGATGTTTGTACAGAGGTTGGTGCAACACAAGCAGACAAAGAGGAGAAACACAGAGCAAGGGTTTGTGGCAGAGATCTGCAGTAAGTGGAGCTATTCACAGCACTGAAGGACAGGTCCACACCCCTCCCCACATACAGGTGTGCAGCAGGAGACATCCAGCACCAGCCTGAGACAGCTAAAATGCCCTCGGAGCTCCCAATCACTTCAGCACTGCACAACTCTGGGCACAGTGGGGCACAGACAACAGCCACCACTGCAGAGCCACCTCCTGCCAACTCTGTCCACAAACAAAGTCAGAAGCAGAGGGCTGGGCAGTATTTTACATCAGGTTACAAACAAAAGACTTGTAGTGTTTAGTACTTTAGTTTGTCAACTCTTCAGATTTTCCTATGAGAGTTTCCTTCTCTGGTCTTCTACTTGGAAAACTTCCACTGGCACTCCTGAAACAAAGAGAAAAAAGCCCAACCCTGATGGTGCTTGACCTCACACACAGAAATACAGAGCGGGACAAACACCAAGTTTCCCTGCGTGGGAGCTCAGATGGAGGGAGAAGCTCAGAGCTGGACAGGCACAGGAATGAGTCTCCCTCACTTCTACCTACAGCATTTCACTAACCACCTGTAATCAGCTACCCCTGGACACTTCTAGCAAAGACTGCCTGACAGCCCCTGAAATTCCTTCTCCTTCTGTTTTCATGGGTTAAAAGTAGATTTTCTTTGGATCTGGGGGAGAGACAGATTCATTGCTTGTTGCTTTAGTCTCCATTCTGGCATACAAAGCACTGCCCTGGACTAAGGGGAACAAACCAGCTGCCAACTGTCCATCCCCAAAGCACTGGTGTGCACAGATGAGGACTCGGGGAGAACAAGGCTCTGAGACACCACCAGGGAAGAGAAGCATCACAGCACACAGTCCTTGTCCAGAGCTTCCCATGTGTCGTGGCTGCAGCACAGGGACGCCAGGATGGAGCCCCAGAACAAGAAAAGCAGGAACACACAAAGGTCTCCTCAGCAGCAGGTTTTCAAAAGCACAACGTCCTCTGAGAGCTGAAGAACCAGGATCCCCAGAGCCACAAGCAGGGCTGTGCAATTCAAGAACACACAGAAGTGAATCTGACTTTCAAAGGGCTTTATATTACAAAACACTTGAGTCACAACGAATGTGGAGAATCCATTCAATGAGGCTTGTCTCCAGTTTGCCAGGAAAGCCACTCA